GCCTGGCGGGTCCGCCACTGCGGCCAACACAGCCGACATCCTGCTTGGAGCAGTCGAGACCACACGTCGACATTTGGCCAGAAAATCATAAGGCTCCTGCGGGTCAGTCAAACGCCACCCTCGCTGCGACTTGGTATAACCTCGAACTCCCGTGAGGAGCTGAAAGGCTAAGAATGCCTCATGCCAGGTCATCCAGACAATGGGTGCATCCGGCCGAGTCAATTGATCCAAGTAGGCCAGCAAAAAATAGAAACCTCGAAAACTGAAAACGCATCAAAGGAGGGGCATGCCACCGCAAGTACTGGCTGAGCCGTGGCGCATCGAGCAGCATCATGCTCGGCTCGTCCTCAGTCAAGGCAGGCTGCACGTGAGGACCTGCCTGACGCTGGCTGGTGACAGCTTAAATTGCTCTCCTACTCGAACAAAATGGCTCTGTACTTCTGCAAGGCATCTAGTCGTGCGACGAACTGCTTGCCTGGCGGCACAAACTGCTTGATTCACTTCAACCGGCAGCTGGTCTAACATACTGGCTGCCGCGGCATCGGCCATGCCATTACCCCGAAGCACGAATTCCTCAGCCGCAGTGTAGCTGCCATGTGACTAACAACTTTCAATGCCACTGGTGGACAAGCCAGTTGCGGTACCACAGTCATGCACCGCCTGCCACAAGTCGGAATCAGCCATCGTGGGCGAGAAATCAAGGTCACCTTGAACGGCTCGATACGCTTTGAGGTAGACTTCTTGGTTGTCTATCCAGATCCTCCTGAAAGCCTGAGTGGCTTGCAGAAAACGGGAGGGCAGCAACCAGGGCCCACAACTCAGCCCTAACCACCGTCTGCCGAACACCTGGGACAAAGCCTTGCGTGGCCAGGTGCAACTCCGAATAGGTGTCCGGATGATTGACCACAACTGCCCAGGCAGCGACTCTCGTGTATGGGCAAGTCGGAAGATCAGCAGTGCCATCAGTGAAGAGCTCAAATTGAGTGCCAAGGTGCAGGGTCGAACAAAGTCTTGGCAGACAGATCCGGTAGACGGGCAAGGGAATGCCGCAGCTGGTCAAGTGCAGGCCAAGTATGGTGAAGGAATTGGGTTGCTCCTCAAAAACTCACCGAAAGCTGGCCACGCGAAGGAGCAGTGTGGGCACATTGCCAGTGGCGATGGCGAAGTGAATCCTCTTGACCACACCAAGGACACAGGGGCGTAAGATCACCCTCACTTCGGTGTCGGAGAATGATGAAATCTCCACTCAACGCTCGCAACCACCCCCTCTGAGCAGGAGGATGCGCTTGAACTCATTGACGTGCCAGTGCTGACCAGGCTTTTTGCAAGCCATCGTACCCTTTGCGGCAGCACCGCCTGGAACCTATACAGTCAAAGAAAAGCCGTGCTCAAGCCACAGGCGCACCTCCTCAAGGGCACTATTCAAAAGGTCACACTCCAGCCCGGTGCGCGTGCGAAATGTTGTGCCTCTAAGGTGCATCCACCCAATGTCCAGCAACCACTGCACCAAGACGCCACATGGACCCGGCGCCCGAAGTCCCAGATCACTACCTGTCAGCAATTCCAGAACAGATGCCTGCACATCTGGCAATGCATGGCGACGAAACTGCCGCGCCGTTTGGTGCAAAGCGTAGAACTCTGGGTCGGCGCTGGGTGTTTCCAAAAGGCAAACCAGTTGAGGCTGGGTGCCTTTGCTGGCCAGCTTGCAACCCCGAATCAGGTCGGCTCGCATGCGGTCAAAATGAGCCCTCCGCAAGGATGCGACCGAGACCGAATGAAGAGCTCGTGGCCAAGCACATGCCCTCGCTGCTCGGAACTTTTGCAGAATAGAAGCCAAGCTCTTCCCTAGGTGACCCCAAAGCCCCTGGAGGGAACCATGCCTGTCCCTGATGGTATAGTTGGTGTGGCGCCGGGAATACTGCATGTGCCCTCCCAGATTGCAAGCCTTGAGCCTGGAAGTCATGCCGGGCGGCAGCATCAAGAGACCACGTGTAGGTCTTCCCTGAGTCAAGCTCAATGTCCAGAGCCTCACAAATGGCACGCAAAGACTGGATGCCCAGGGCATTACGAACGCTAAAGTGTCGAACGTTGGTCGTGACAAAACCTAGCCAGGCTCGCAGGACACTGCCGTCAGCTCCAAGGTGCACAGCTGCCCGGAAGACCCGCTCACGTGGAAGCGTGTTGAAGGCTTTAACTAAATCCAAAACACTACCGGCTAGGGGAACTTCATCATACAGAGCGCTTTCAAGCATGGCCTGGTTGGCCCACCAGATGGCGACAGTTGAAGAACCAACTCGGTTTCCTCTGACCCCTGTAGGGGCATGCTGACTGATGAACTTGAGCAGATTTTTGGAGTGAAAGGAGGACCAAATGCGGTAAGGCAAAGGGTAAATGGTGATGGGCCTATAATCATTCACAGTGGATGCCTCATTGAACTTTTGAAGGCTGTGCGCGACACCATGTCTCAACTGGATGGGCCACACTCCTGTGGTCTCTGCACGACCAAAAACATCAAGCAACCCCTGCAAGGCCCCCGAAGGCATGGCCAAATAAATCGGCTCGGCTGATACCATCAACCCCGACAGCACACGTTGGCTTGCGAGATCTGACGAAGGCTCTGAGCTGATCAACTGTGATCACAGCACGTTCATTTGGCAAAGATGGGAGAAGGCATTCAATTTGAGCACGCACCCCGTCCCAATGATGTGGCGGCAGGTGATCATGAGTGCACCACCGTGACTGCCAGGCAGTCTCGAAGGCTTTCAAAACCTCATGGAGGGTTCCTAAATCTGTGCGTCACCTGGGAGCCAGGGGAAGGCAGGGGGCCTTCCATGTCAAGCCACAATTGGTCCGACTCTGCATGCACTATGGTGAATCCATGCCTGGGCAGTATATACATGTGCCTACACATGAGGCTTGGGCAAGATAAGCCTTCTAGCCGTGTGTAACCCAGGAGCGCTATATTGTTCCATGATTTTTGCAAAGCAAGGCGTTCTAGCTAGAAAGCTCTCATTCCAGCACTCCTGGTGGAACAGGAGGGAGCCTACATCCGTCTGTACAGGCCTATAGCCGGATCAAAATGCTGAAGCTCACTAAGCATTACCGACTGAAGATCATCATGTGACTGGACAGTGGCTGCGGCTCGAAGACTGAGAGTTTCAACTGGCTCGGGTCCAGGGGCTTTAATGTCACGAAGAATGAGATTGGCATGGTGCTGTCTTCGGTCAATGGCTGCTTTCCGACGAGAAGCCAATAACTGCTTTTCAAATGCCTCAAGATAGGCTGAGAAGCCCGCTTGAAGACAATGGGCCTCAGCTTGGCTCGGCGCCGATTTGGCAATGGGACGAGAGTGGTCGGGCATTACATGCTGCTGGCAACACGCCAGGAAAGGGGACCCATTGCCGCCCACAAAGTGACTCGGTGCACAACTACCGAATGACTGGTGGTCTGGTCAGGCAATCTAGCGAAGTGCTGCAAACGCCGGCATTGAGTAATGCGCCTGCGATAGTGTATAGACTCGACATTAACCACTGCAGCTTTGTCACCTAGACGACCTGGTTTGACTGGACACCTGTCCGGGCAGACCCTACGAATGCTGGCCATGGGCAGGCCCTGCTAAGCCTTTATCCCTACAAGCTTGCCGAACACTGGTCTCGCCGCTCAAGGCTTGGAAGACAACCATCGCTGTGCTATGTAGGCCTTTTCTTTGTATCCAGAGACGTCAAGGAATCTGCTCATCGCGTTTGCTATTTTTGTTGTAAATAGCGAACTCGCAGCCTCTCCATTCTTCTTGAAATGAAGATGTGCGCCAAGAATGACTCCAAACGTATGCTTGTTTCCTGTTCTCATCTCAGAACCACCGGCGTCCTTCAAAGATAAGGCTTTCACCGACTGTTCGAGGTCGCCTATTGGGAGAGCGATGGGAAGGTTGATGACTTTTTCTCCAGATGTAGGCAACGAATAGTCGATACGATACAACAAATGTTTGCCATTCGCTCAACATCCGAATCGATTGCTACGCCTGCAGAAAGTTTGTATGGGATCAGTCCAAAGACCTTGTCTGTCGTTCGCATCACAGAGATTGTTTTCCCGTCAAAGGAACTGAGAACTGCGATGAAGTTTCCTGTTGCAACCTGCGCGACCATGCTTGATTTCGTCGTTGCGACCTGGGGCACCCGGTCGAACGTGACTGCCGTCGAACCACATGGCCGCTCCAGTTCCGAAGAGTTTGGAGTCCCGGTTCGGTGCCAGTGGGATGTGACGGCACCGGCACCCGGTCTACCGGTCTACCGTATACCCTTCGGCACCCAACTCCGGTGGATCCACCGAAGCTACCCGCAATCCGAACCGCGGGTGGCTCACGGGGTAGGACGGAGACTCTTTGGCTCCGGTGATCCAAGGAGGAGACCAGTGGTACCTTCTTCGGTACGGTGTGGCCATGGATCCGACTCAAACGGCTTAAATCTCCGGTGTCAATTCGGGGGGCTGCAGCCCATGTCATAGGAGGAGATTGCCACAAGGTTTTTGCCCAGTCTCTATATAAACCACTGAAGATTTGAGCCTTAACAGTCCTGACGAAATTGGACAGTTGGCCCCCCAAAATATTCCACGTGAATTGATGTGGTGAGGCTGCAATTGTCTGTGCAAATCGTAGAAAAGTGGGCCAGGAATCCCTGCTTGAGGCCTGTGAGCAAAGCTCGGGACCATCATTTCAGCAGGGACCAGGCTAGCTCGGGTGTTCTATGCCAGAAACTGTGTGGATTGCATGCCTGAAGGATATCCAAGGCAACATGATTCTAGGCCCAAAAAATAGAACATGTTTTGACAATTGACAATCAAACACTCTCAAACAAACCAATCCAGAACACAAACCGGGGGCTGTGCTTTTCTTTGGGGGAAAACAGTAGTGTTTAATTTACCTCTTCACCATCATGGTTGATCATGGCATGTGCAAGTCAAGAAACACCTGCTGTCTCCACCAGGCCCTCTCAGCAGCTCACCCTGCAACCGATACATAAGTCATCGGTGGCATAGCAGTAGACCTCAGAGCTGCATAGCCACAGCTTGGAGGCGAGAATCCGTTCGGTCCACTGGAAAGTGTGGGCGGGATATCAAGGAGTACCAGCACCCTCACTGCCAGGTCACTAATTGAGACCTATGAAGGCCCATCAGAACCTCTTTTTCACGAGGAGACCTGGCGCCGTTGAGGGTGCTCTTGGTATCCGGAAACTGCTCTCCTCAGCATTGGAGTTTCTCTGTCCAAACGGTCATGGTACTCCCGGGTGCGACCTCCTCACCGTGGAAACGGCCGTACGGGCCGTTCCATCGATTGACCGGGTGGGTGACCCACTCAGGGAGTGGATTCCACCGGCAATCGATTGATCTACATGGCACAAGAAAACTGACCTTCCCAGGAGTTCCAAAGGGATGCTATCCATGGAGGGTGCCGTCGGGGTGCTTGTTGAACATCCACGGCCCCTGGATGGGACGAACCAAACCACCCAACTCCATGTGACCCCTGGTGCACAGTGTCCCTTCAGAAGAACATCTCCAAACTGTCCAGCCCTAAGACTGGTCACTTGATTGTCATCTTACTTCTTGCTCGTCGACTGTAGGTTCAATGTCATGAGATGTTCCAAAGCAAACACATCACTGGTCCAAGAAATGTCTTTGTTGCTGACCATGCATCCGTTGCCTCGCCCATCTCAGGACAGCTGGAAAAAAGAACTCTGCTTCGCCGCCACCCAACACGCCTAAAACGTGCACCTCGCACCGTCCGAATCCCACGGGGGGTTGGCGATGTCACACCTTTTGGGCGCCACCGCGCATGCCGCCCGTCCCGCTAGGAGCGCCCCAACCGCTTTGGGCGGCCGGCTGCGGAGTGTTTTGGCGCGGAACTGAGGGCGGTCTCAGCGCAGTCTCCGTGCGCCAGTGAGTCACTTCAGGTCACTTCGCCCCCTTGCATTCTCTGCAGAAAAGCAGCACACAGCAGCATAGCACCAAGGAAGACAACCAAAGTTAGAAACAAACATCATCTCCAAGGCTGAACTTCACCAAACGAAGAAACAAGTAAATTCCAAATACAGACGTTCCGTCGTGTTTTCTCATGGTTCCCGGAACCACGAAATGCTAGCCAGCAGGCTCCAATGTGAATCATAGGTCTAGTGTGAAGATTGGAGTAATACACTATAAACATCACTAAACCATCTGTTCACCATGCTATCATATATGGACATATCGTTCAAGACGTGGCATAACAAATCTATTCACATATCTAAATGACGTGGCATGCCTGTGCCATCTTCGGACTCTCCATGTCTCTCGTGGTCTGGCAATGTAGCCAATCTCAGAGCCACCCAGGGCTTCGACTGACTTTAAGCCGCCCGGTGGTGGCGGTACGTCACGTGAAGGCGCGAAAGGACGTCGGCCGGTGCTGTGGACATGGACATGAAGATGCCCCGCTGAAGTTGTGGAAGTGAAGCTGGGAAACACGTTCCAATCTGCGTTGACTGAACCGAACCGAAGACTGCTTCAACACAACTGGGAAGAGTAGACTATGACCATCAAATGCCAAACAACCCAAACAAAATCAAACAAACAAACAACCCAAAAGGATGCACCAGCAGCTCCTTGTCGGGGTGCCAAAAAATGGAGGAAGTCGGGGTGCCCATGATCCATTCCGGGTACTTAAGTCCAAACTTGTTTTGGTTGCAGTTTGTGCTAGAGGACCCTTCATTGGTCTGGAGGAGGGGGGATGCCTCTTGCTAATCAGGATCCAACAATATTCACTTGGGGCACTCCATACCGTTCGACGACCTTCGACGTCGCCCTTCGACGTCGCGGGCGCTGTCGCCCTTCGACGTCCGACTCAGCTGGAGCGTCGAAGCCCGTGCACGAGCTCGACGTAGCCGTCCTCCTCCGGCTGCAGGACGCCACGTCGCACCTGCCAGTCGCAGGAAGTCGCACGCGAGAAGGAACCGTTTGAAGTTGGAAGGCGAACGAAGTCAAAGAAGAACTGCCAGGCTGGCACATCAATTCAATCATGCAGTGGTACATGGATTTGTTTCAATCAGAAATCAAACCATTCAAACAGAAACCTGACTTAGCTATCAATGGTTGTTTGCATGAGCCCAAGCTCGTGCTTCACCTTTTCAGATGACGATTGAAAGGAGAAACGCCCAAGGCTCCAACAAGCATATCCAGAATGACCAGGCAAACCTTGGAGAGAAGGACCCAAACAACCACATGTCGCAATCACGGCGGGTGTTTACCAGTTCAGGTTAGATAACTTTAAAGGGCTGATAAAATCCAGCAATTGGTTTCATAATTTGTCCTTGAAAAGCGTCATGTCTTTCTTTGAGCGTCCCACACACAGTTTGTCTAGCGAGTCTAGCAGGCAAATTGCCAAGGAACACATTCCCAAAATACAAAGATTCTTCCCTGGACAGTAGTGATCATTCACACGGTTCATTGTCCGTGTTCACTTATATAATTGAGACAATACTTTCAGTCAAAACGTGATGAGGCTGGGTCAGGGCTCCTATTCCATCTCCACCAAACATGGTTGAAAGGAAAAAAATACTCCATATAGGTCTACAAGTGTCAAACAGGTAATTGTTTGGAAGCTCAATTTCATGAGATAATTTATGTTTTCAGGATTCAGTGTATCGCCGACCTTCCTCACATTTGAGCAAAACAATCTTGTTACTGAAAGACTGTCACTTGTAAGAACAGGAAGATATAATGTAATATTGCAATGATGGCACACACCTGCAAAGTCGCAACTCCGTGTTCCCTTGGTGCTCCAACCATCTCGAGGGGTGACTTTGGTGTTTTTTCGAGAATGGCTGCTGCACCGTCGACTTGATCCACCCCGGGCGCCCTTAGCGCCGTGGTGGTTCTCTTCTCCTTTCGCCCAAGTGGCATTGGGCTTCCAATCAGGCTCAGCACCTTCAGCAGCCAAGGAGTCCACCACGTCCTCCAAACCTCGCTCTCGCTCCGCGCGGCGCGGACCGCGGAGACCGGTGACCGGCTGGGTCAAACGGGTCGAAAGAGTATGACGAGATATGAACACAACCGCACATGAAGGGTATCATGTAAACAAAAGATGTCCACAAGCCTCTGGCGAATGTGACCGCAAGGTTCTTATTTCATCAACAAAGGGCTGAGCCGTCTCACTCCAGGAGACCTGCCTGAACCCGGCCGTCGAGCGCTCGCGCTCGCGCGCACGTCTTCTTTCTCCCCCAAAGCGGTTCGGACGCGTCGATCGGCCCCGGTCAGCGGGCTGATGGCCCCCCCCCGTGGAGGAATTGGAAAACATCACAGTCACGCATGCAAATTGCGATTCTTTTCTGTGTGCACAAATCACAAACCTTGCACCTTGCAGTCCACTGGAAGTAACAAATCGTCCAAGTGTCACCATATGCGTGGGCGATCTTCGCGAAAGCCAGACACACCCAACACGGCTCATCACCCCAGCTAAGACCTCGTGCCATCTGCATCAGTAAATTACACTGATCCAGCACCCACCATCTATTTCCATACCCAAACACTCCATGTATGGTACTGTATATTGACCTACATTGGGGTGGTGCCAGAGGGGTCAATGTAGGCCCGCTGTGGCCGCTGACCGAGCAGCTCATGAGGCTGAAGGACTCCACTTCACCATCTCCGGCGTGAGGCTCAAAGTCCTCTGGCAACTGCAGGTCATAGCCTCGAACCACGACTTGGTCTCTGGTCCGGTGGTTTGTATAATGTGATATTATATATTTTTGTTGCGCCATCCGGGCGAAGGCTGGGATGGCAAGTGAAACAAGCCATATTCTGGATGAAGATCAACTCTGAAGCATTTAATACATTGTGACTGAGGCGAATAAAATCTATCCTTCACCAGGCGCACTCCCTACACTTCTAATAATGAGTTGTTGGAATCTCCTACAGCTTCATACTACCCTGGCTCCAGGTCAACCCTAAATTGAATGACGGCCGATTTGGTAGCGCACCAAACAGATTCTGCCATGGTCTTGGTGGTGCACATCTTGTGTCGGGGATCAACAAAACACTGCAAAACACACGATCTTAGCCTTTGAAAAGACACCCCAACAAAGTTAGGCAACGGTGTTCCTTGACTCCAAAGGTGTTACAGTACTTCAGCCAGGTGTTCCTTGACTCCAAAGGTCTTACTTCAGCCATTGAAAGATATTGAAAGGGTCATTTGGAAGATTTCTACACGTCCACGCCTCTGGGGCGCCACTTGGTTTGGAGGCCACGCGGGAGGAGTTCCACCGCATGGTCCGGAGCCGATCGCGCCATTTTTTGGGAGCTACTTTCCAGGGCGGCATGGAACTGGTACATATATGAAGTTGTGGAATCAACCTTCACGTCACCTCCATCCTGAACTTTCGCAAGAAATCCATGCTGAAGCAAGCGATTTCTCCTGCAAGTTGTGGAACCCCAAGTTGTATGATGTTTGATTCCTCTTGCTTCTGTTACATGTAGGGCTCCAACTACATCCGTTTCGAAAATGGTTGGGGTGGGTGCCAGGGGGGTCTAGCCACCTTCTGAGGATGCCAGGTTGGAGCCCGAGGGCCCCTTGTTTCAAGTTCCTGCTCCAGGTCTACACCCCTGACCAAAGCACATCAGGAAGGCAAGCAACAGAAGAGCACATCACGCTTGATGCCCCATCCTCGCAGCTGAATGGACCAACCCAAACAGACTTACGCCATTAATGGGGAGGGGTACGGAACAGGGTCCCAGAACTTCCAGAGTTTCCAGGGCCTCCCAGTCCTGGAGAGGTCCATCATGACCATCTAAAGAATGTCCCGAGCCACTTGAGCCACTTGTCAGGACATGTGACCAGTCCTGTGACCAGCCCCAGTGTCTTTCTGTCTTTCACGTATCTTCCATGTGTCAGGAAGCCCCAGTGCGACCATGTGTCAGGAAGTACGTGTCATACGTGTCACCATCTTTCACAGTCCCTTCATGTGAGGGTCGCGGTTGGTGAGGAAAAAAGGTCGGCCCGCAGCATTATTGAAGTGGACAT